AGAGAGAGAGAGAGAGAGAGAGAGAGAGATGCTTTAAAATACAGATAAAACAAGAATTACTCATCTTTCTTTTTCCTTTCACAGTATTGTTACATCTAATGTTTTTAATCCTCCACTTACAGAAATCTCTGATTTTCCATCCTATTCCAATAGCAACTTCAAAAAAACCCTTCTATGTATCAAATCAGTCATTTCTACTTTTTTTCCTGCTTTTTGACACTATTTGATCTTATACTTGAAAGATCTCTAGAAAACTCACATCTTAGTATCTTCTTTTTTACTTTTTTCTCTTTCATAAAACTGCATTTTGAAACTTGAGGAATAGCCTAGGAAAGTAACCAGCCACAAGCTGTTCACCCATACCATTTCTGCCCTGCCACTGAATTCATGTCCTTTGACCTTTTCTACAATTGTTGTGATAGTTCTCCTATTTGTGGAAAATTCATTGATAAAGATTCCACTTGTTTTTAAACACTCAACAAGAATTTACCTTATTAAAAAATAATTTCTGCTGTCACAGAATTCAATTGTATGAATTAAAATTCTAAATACATCCAAGCATAGCACATTGTAGCCCAAAGTACAGATATTAATGAGGTCCCCCAAAAAGCAAAACAAATGAAAGGTTGCATTAACAAAGCAAACAGACAAAAAAGGAATGCAACGTTTATGGATCTTAAAAGCAGTGGTACACAATCTGTGTTTTAGTTTCTAAGATCTGATGCAAGAAGTGTTTCAGTTGGGTATATTTTTGTAGTTTTCACATTAAAATAATATAAAGATACTATTTTGGACAGATGTGTTTACATACATATATGCCTATATATGCACATACATATGATATATAAATTTATTATAATAATTATACATATAAGAATTAAAGTTGAACAGAAGAAGTAAAGTGGGATTAATTTTAAAAATTAGAGTAAAAACCCAGTTGAATATTTAAACAATTTTGGCAATATATTCTTAGGGAAACATGAAAATTAATATCAAGAACATTTTATCTGTTTTTAAAAATACTTGCTAGTAAAAATGCTTTTATAGTAGTACTGTAGATCTATTATTTTCCCTCGCAGTAACAGACATATTATTATTACTCCTAGGGTAATAAGTCTATCATTTTAAAAATTCTCAGATCTTGAGCTTACATTAACTAGTAAAGCAGTAACAATAGTCTGAGTCAAATCAATATTTTCTAAAATAATTAAATGTGTTCTTTTTAGAAGTGAATAGAATTATTTTTTATCAGAACATTGATGGTTAGTCAAACTTTCAGAGTTAAAGAACAAGAGAATCCATATAGTCTTAACTAGAATCACAGCTTTCAATACTAATATTTGAAATATTTCATTATTTTTTGCCATTCGTATTGTAACTATTTCCACTGTAACTTAAAACTGCTAATTTATGAAAACTCATGATTAATCTGCATGAAGCATGAATTCGTCCACTGTAAAGCAAAAGGATACATTATGCTATATAAATAAACCCTAGTATTGTTATGGTTAAAGTATATGGAATTCGAAGTTAGTTCCAAGATTACTGCTTAAGGTGAAAACTAAAAATCCCTAGCTATCAAAATTACTCTTAAAAATTCTTTAAATTACCCATAGAGGACCTGAGTCTTTTAGAACAAGTTGTACATGGTATAACTCTTAAAGGCTCTGAAAGGAATCTTCCTTAGAATTCAGGTCAGAATCCTTACCCAAGACCTAGAATTCTTTTTCTTTTTTTCCTACACTGACCTCTCTTTTTCTAAACTAGGGTCCAGTTGAAAATGGAAGTAGGGGTGATCAGAGAATATGGAAAAATTTAGAGCTTTTGCTACTTACACATAATTGGAATTTGTGATATTTAAATTAATATGTCTTGTGATTAGACTGAGCTTAGTTAGCCTTAATAGTGACTTTGGTCTTTTTTTTTGAAATGACTACTCAATTCTAGCATCAAATTTTATATTTTGGAGGCAAGCCATATTCTTTTCTCTTACACTACAAATTGCAGTGCTACTTGACTGTGGGCTGTTTCATCCTAGTTAATATCAGAATAACTCATGATTTGATTGGATGCAAAGATTCCTCATATACAAAAGTTGAAAATCTATTATAGCACCTACCAACCAATACTTGAATTGTTGCTATATTTCTTCAAAGTTTCCTACAGGTGTTTATTTACAAAAAATATTGTTAAATAAAAATTCATGTTGTAATACTAAATAAGAAAGGTCTCCATGGCCAACAGGGTTAAAAAGATTCTTTAATTAGCATTTTTAAGAGTGTTCACTACTCTAATCCACATTTTTAAATATTTAAGAGAATTCACAATAGCTTCTGCATTTTTAAAAATTATTTGTCTAGCCTATGAAATATACTTTGAGAAACACTGTTGTACTTCACTAAGTTTAAATATCAAAATGACTAGAGTACCTGTATTATTAACATAAATAAAGCCACATGTGTTAGAAAATTGAATGTTCTACTTTAAAATAATGGGCTCTTGTATCTTTAATTAGTTAGCAAAGAAATTTCCTGAAACTGAACAAAATTTAAAAATGTGTTTAATCCATTTTCTCTTTATACTCTTATGCTATTCTTGATACACATAGTCAAATGACTTCTACTTTTTCTTCAGGGATAAAGCTAGAATAACTCTTGAACTTTCACAAATTCATATAATTGGTGAATGCTACCGTAATTTGCTAATTTTATGTTCTTTACATAAAAAGGAAATGGAAGGGCATTGTGTAAACTAAGTTATTGAAATGGCTTCTTTCCCTGTTGAAAAACATCCACTATTTGCTTTCAAAATGTTTCAATACCATAATTCCTTTTCTCTCTACACATCTTTAGTAACCTTGTTACTCTTTCACCTTTTTATAACTGCACTGGCAGTTGATTTAGTAGGGTCAGTGTCCCCTCATTGTTCACAGCCACTGTGCAATAACTTTTCTTTCACCTTATCTTATGATGAAGTTGAAAAATGCTGCTGTTTTCTGGCTTCCTGGGTTGGGTTTCATCATCCTCACATGAATTCTCTGGAACATTACCTAATAAACAATAAATGCCCTTTCTTATCAAACATGTACAATGATAAATTCAGTCTGCTCTTTGCTGAGCATGTAGAAATTTCTGTTATTTGGTGATTAGTGGGTACTGCCCATCTGAGAAATACCTTATAGCAAAGCCAGAAGCTCACATTTTAAAAAGCACATATTGTAGGACAGAAGGGCAAGGGTCTAATTCTCCCTTAGAAAAATGAGAAGGGGCTAGAATTAGGAAATTTCAAGTCTAAATTGTGTTTAGACTAGAGAAAATTTAGACTAAAGAAAAGGCTGGAGGATAGGTGTAACAGGTAATGCTACAGTTTAAAGGGAAATAAACATACACTGTCAATACATTAAAATATATAAAAAAACCTCTAATAAAACCAAAAAGTTTTTATTCTGCTAAGCACTTTCATTTTATAGTAGGACTAGCCTTTTAATTTAGAAGTTTTTTTAGATTATTAGTAAACATCAATACTAACCTTTAAAAGTAAGAAGGCTTTCACCTTCAGAAGTTTTCCATGTTTTATTATTAAATATGTAAATATAATCTAGTAGTAAATTTACTAAAATTATTTGAGAGGTTATATTTTCAGAAACATTATTGAAGTAAAATTGTTTTAATATAAAATTATCACATACTTAAAGGCTTTTTTCCTCTTACTGCTATAACTTTTTAAATTGACTTTTCTATTATATACAGTTAGAACTACACAGAAAGTATATTCTATATTACCTTTATTTACATATCTATGAATGTTTTACATTTTCAACAGTTTTTATATTCAAATTAATATATAATATGTGCCTGTTTAATAATTTGTTCTCTCATTCTTCAGATTACTAATTATATTCTCTTACTATAAGTCATCTTATAGTCTTAGAGCATATATCTTTTTGCTTTAGTTGAATTTTTTCTTGGGAAAGAATCCATAAGGTAAAAGAATTTTTTTATAGGAGTAAATGAAAATTCCCTGATGGTATGAACATGTCATCATGTATTTTTACTTTTTGGTGGACCCTAGAACAATGCTAAAAGCATTACAAGAATTCATTAAATGAATGACTGTTTGGATTTGAATTTGAATTTCTCTACAGAAAAGTTGGGTATATGACATAATGGCTGATTTATGGTGAATGATCTATTTTCATTTAATTTCATTTTTAAAAAGTCAAATCCAAGTGCTTACTGTTATAGTGTTAAGTGCTTACTGTTATACTGGTCAAACTATTGATGAGTATTCTGTTCAATGTATTACTTATATTATGAAAATGTTTCTACTCTGTTTCTAGGTTTCAGGCCAAAGAAGAGGTAGCTGTAGATGGAGTCAGGTAGCATATTGTTAAATGTATATATGCAAATATATTCACATCTACAGCCACAATGGCAGTATTACCTTTATTCAATAGCACAGCTTTTAGATGAGTTTCTCATCTTACAACCCAAAGACACTACTCAGTTAATCAATATAATACTCTTTTAAAACCTACACTACTTATCTAGCCATTGAAGAAAGTATTTACTTAGATAAAAATTACATTCTTTGCAATTAAGCTTGAAGGTCAACTTGAACAAAATTAATGAAATATTTTTGATATAAAAATTAAAGCATAATTTTATTCAATACTATAAAATCTTGAATGTATAGAAACCCACCATATAACTTATGGATTCTTCACAGTTGGAAGCCATACTTGTTTTCCCAAAAGTCTGACTCTGCAATGCTAAATTGGAAGCATGAATTTTTTTATCAAACTTTTTATTTTTAAAATTTTTTTTATTTTTCC